AACCAAATCATACAGGCGCTTTTAACTTAAGCCAATGCCTGACTGTTGCTGGTCATATTCCACGAAGTGATACTTAATAGTTGACGTTTCTAAGCAGAAATCGCATATTAAACAATCACTGCCAATTTAAGAAACGTTTGAGAACTTTGAGAAAGGTATTGTTGCATCGCCACACTGACAGTTCACGATTAACGTTAAGACATGTTGGCTTAGCATCAACGCCAAAGCATGCTGACACGTTAACTATAATTTAGACCTAAATAACGTCGTACATAAAACGATTTCATGTATATTTTAAAAAAATGAATATTTGTTTTATTTAGTACACTTACTGGTCCGTTACCTGGACTTGCACATATTCCGTAAGTTAAACTTAGCAAGCTACCAGCACTAACTCGTTGGGGAAGCTGCCATGATGAAGGCATGTCCACTTTAGTTAGCTAAGGCTAGCGGTCTCAAACATGCTTTAAAATCTTCTCTTAAGACAAACACCGAACGAAAAAACGATCACACCAAGGTGTCCCGTGGTTATTGCCCGCATATTAACTGTAAAAGACGAGATTCAACCTCAACTAAAAAGCAAATAAAAGACATTATGATTCCGCAGCAAGTGCTCACCTTATTGAACCGGTCCGCCATGATGTGCGAAAAGAAAGACACACGGGGTTGCTCGTGGTAAAAGGCACGGGCAGGCGGAAGTGACGACTTTTACATTTCTTTCTCGTGGGAAGTGTGAACTTGTTGCATCGCCTCCGTTATGTGGAGGGAGAAGTGTAGTTTATTGTCGATTCGTCTTGTTCCAGATTCTATTTCTGATGTATTCTTGATTTCCAATTTAGAATTTATATTTTCAACTCTCTTTCTGCAATTTTTGTTGTCAGATTTCAAACTTGGACTCATAGAAACATTATCCAACTCAATGCACCATCCTTCTGTATGGCGCTTTTAATCACTTGTCAAGTGATTTCAACTAAGAATGGGCTTGGGGTGAATTGGAGAAAAGTTGTGTTACTGTGAACCATCCAAATGTCATTACTTCTGTAGGCTCATTAATTTAGAGATAATGTGCACTTTAATTGGAAATCTGTCTGATTTATTCAGCTTGGAAATCCAGTTTGTGGGTATATGTGCTTCAAGGATTTAAATTAACAACTGGGGAAAGTGAGCAACTACACCAGGGCCCCAGACCCACACTGGACTGAGGGCCTCATAGTTACTGCATGTCAGCACAATCACATATAAACAAAATGCTTTTAAAACCAAATTTGGGTCAAAATGTCCAAGGTACATATTGCCTATGTCAGTGATTATATACTGTACATAAACTCAGCAAAAAAGTAACATCCCTTTTTCAGGACACTGTTTTATAAAGATAATTCTGTAAAAATCCAAATAACTTTACATATCTTTATTGTAAAGGGTGCAAAAAATGTTTTTAATGCTTGTTCAATAACCATACACAATCAATGACCATGCACCTGTGAAATAGTCATTTAGTATACAGACGGTAAGCAATTAAGGTCACAGCTGTAAAAACTTACAACACAAAAGAGAACTTTCTACTGACTCTGAAAAACACTAAATTAAAGATGCCCAGGGTCCCTTCATCTCATCTGCGTGAACGTGCCTTTGGTATGCTGCAAGGAAGCATTAGGACTGCCGATGTTGCCAGAGCAATAAGGGCCTTTGGTGTGAGAGACCCCGGTTCAATTCCCTTTCCCTGAGCAAAACACTTAACCCCTAGTAGCTTCGGAGGCGTGCAACCTCGGACATAACAATTGTAAGTCGCTTTGGATAAGAGTGTTAGCTAATAGATGTGTGTACAATAAAATGCAATGTCTGTACTGTGAGATGCCTAAGAAAACACTACAGGGAGACAGGAAGGACAGCTGATCGTTCTGGCAGTGGCACTCCACATGTGACAACACCTGCACAGGACCACACCAGATTTTTACAATTAATTTTGATTTTGACCACCCCCCCTTGTTCAGGGATACATTTTTCCATTTCTGTTTCTTACATGTCTGTGAAACTTTGTTCAGTTCATGTCTTAGTTGTTGAATCTTTTTATGTTCATACAAATTATACAGTTGCTAAAAATAAAAGCAGTCGTTACTGAGAGGATGTTTCTTTTTTTTGCTGAGTATATATATATATATATACACACACACACTCATATGCAACTTATGATAATTCACTCAAGTGAATATGCCAACTATTGTTTATACAATTAATTGATTATTAAAAGAATTGAATTTTCTGTTGATCAATTAATTGTCACTGTACTAAAAGATACATCTACCAATGTCATTTACATTACAAGTTTATTTATACATCACTCAAGATTATAAGCTGATGTTCCCATATGAAGCATTAAAGCTATTTAAGTTTTAACACTTAAGCCATTTGCCTGCAACAGACAGCACACTGACATACTACAAAACAGTGATGAAAAAGTTTTACAACTTGTGTCACAGCATGCCATGGAAACACTAATCATTTTATGAACCGTTTTAATAACTTTCAAGCATTTACAGAATAATCACCCACACATTCATGACTGGCCCGTTGACACGGTCCATTCAGCAATCTGAAGAATTGTTGAGAAAACTGTAACTTTTTTTATGAAGGTTTCACTCAGTCATCGTGCTTCAGCTTCCTGATCTTTCCCTTGTGGCGGTCAATCTCGCGCTGCAGACGTTCAATCTCCATTTTGTGGTGGTCAATTTCCTCCTGGTGATGCTGCTTCAATGCAGCCAGCTGCTCCTGCTCCTTACGCCTTATGTGCAGATGGACAGATATAATGATGGAGGAGCAAAATAAACAGTGGGAAAAGAGAGGGAGGGAACGGACAGTGGACAAAGAGGATTTTAATTAAAACACAATTTGGTGACTTAGAGGTTTGGGGTCCATGATTTAGAAAGATGTAACAGAGCTAACACTCTCAGTCCACATTTGGTTGCTGTAATGGAAAGAAAAGCATACTTGAAGTACATCTCCTCCTCAGCGGCCTGCTTCTTCCCCATGGCTCCACCTGCCTCTCTGATGGACCCTCCACCGCCACCACCTTTACCTGCACCTTTACCGAGCTCACCCAGCTGAGTCGGGCAGGGAAGCAGTCAAAACGAAAATGTTTAGTATACATTTAGAGGTGTTAAGGGCTTTGCTCTGTAGACATGTATCAAAGAGAGAGACTTCAAATTAGCAAAGTTAATTTCGTTCCTGTTTTTTTTTATATTAAGACTGTGATATATTAAGGTAGAGTCAGTTGGACGCAATGAAACTGACCCCTTTCTGAAGGTCAATTTTCAGTTTACTTCACAAAGAGGAAAGAGCTTTTTTTTTTTTTTAACGTGATAGAGGTATTTGGAACAGACCAGAAACTGTCTGAGTGACAACTACACAACCCCAACCTCAGAGGACAAACCAACTCATAGAACTTAATTATTTTCTAAATGAACTGGTTTGGAGGCAACTACTCGTGTATTTTATTTTGACAAAACTTGATTAAAATGAATCCCTGCTCATTTATCCTCGACATTGTTGTGAATCTCTCCCACTGATCAATGCCCTAAAACTTGATTTCTACTAAATTCCTCTAAACTACAATCATGTCACCGTCAGTTTGTTTTACCTGCTTGTCATAAAGGCTTTCAATTAGGCACGACGATTAAGCTAACGTTAACTCATTTAAAATGATTCACACACATGAGAGAGTAACGTTACAAAAAAGTGATCTTCACATCAAGTAGTTTATTTTCAGGAGGTATTTTACCTGGTCGGATGACATTCTCAGCTGTGAAGTGACAAAACTCCTGATGTTAGGCCTTAGAAACCTCGCCATGTTTGACTATCATATGAAAACAACACTGACAGCAACTTGCCCTTGTCCCCCAAAATTACGCCACAGGACAGCGCCATTATTAGTCAGACGGGGGTGACGACACGAGCGTGACGCTGTTGTAATGAGAAACCGAGGTACTTAATACTTCATTTAATGATACATTATTACATGACGCTACCAAATTAGTTTCTATATACGTAACAAGTAATTAAATATAGTGTAAGGAAAAATACCGTGTCCCTTTTTGATAATGGTATGGTCTCAAAAATGGACAGCGTGACTCCGCACGTTTTTTTACGTAGTCGCTGACTGCACGTTAATATCAGACGTTTAAGTTGGAGATTTTACCATGCAAAACCCTTTTATACAGTCACATACATTCAAATTATTGAATCTCTTACAATCTATTAATCTAGTTATACTATTGAAAACATTATGTAACACTTAAAATTTGTTTCATTTATCATTTTACACAGGGTTTCAGTCTCCTTCAGGCAGCACACACAATACATACAAATAGTTCTAATTAGAACAGAATAGAAATATATGTATATTTTTTACAGTTATATACATAATTATACAAAAGGTAGCAATATGATGCAAAAACCAGCATAACAAATTTCCAAGTCATTTATTTATGGAGTTTGAAGTGAATTTATTAATGTTAACAACACCCTGGCTGCTTCTTTTTGTCTGTATTAGTTTAAATAATTGTCGTCACTGACTATTCAATTTTATTTTTTACTATGCATGTTTTTATTAATTGAATTTTTAATAAAATTTCGGGAAAAGCCAGAAAATAAATAAAAACTTTAGATTTTTATAAAATCTTATGCATATGTTGTATATTAAAAAGCTACAATAGATTCATGACAGATCATTTCAGTCTATTGTTGTAAATGAGTCCAAAGGAAACCCTTATAACCCTTGTGTATCTACACAAGTGTTGTGAGTGTTCGATCAATAAAAAGTAGTATGCCATGTTGCAAAATGCTGGCTTGCGTTAAACTAAAACTCATCATGGTGTATTACTGAACACCGTCACTGTCGGCTCTAAATGAAGGACATAGCTGAGCTCTGTCATGCTTGGAAGGACAAACTTACTTTTTACTTTTAATTTGAATATATATATTAGAAAAAAATAAAACAAACCATATGGAATGCTTTGAAGGATTTTATTCAATGCTGCAAACAAAGTATACAGTCCCCTCACTGAACAAACCAAGCACTGGCTTATGTGGTGGAAGGAGCCTTGCAGACCTCCTTCCCCCCTTCCCCAAGTCCCCTATAAATATTTGCTTGCCAGGAAAATCAAGGCTCACTCCGGCCCAAAACCAAGAGAAGAAACTAAGAAACAAAATTTTAAACCACATTCAACATTTTTCACAATTCACACCATACGCCATTACTATAATCATCAAAGTTACATATGTACAGGTAAGGTTGGAATCTAGTCGGCAAGCAAGTGCTTTAGAAAAAGTAAAATAACCCCCCCCCCCCGCCAATGCATGTAAAAAATGAATAACAAGTCCCAACCTAAATTTAAATGAAATCTTCTGCACCGCTTTGTTCATGAGGTGTCCATTATATGAACAAAAACAGAGTTAATTAGAGGCCCTCATGTTTATTCACTGTGACAAAGCATCTAGATAGTTCCTCATGCAAAACTGAGAATTTGAGTTGATGACTACATTAACATTTTTACTCTTGAGCTTGCCTAGAGATACTTCGAAAAGAAACAGTTGCACTTGAAGGACAAATCAAATTCTGGCCTGTGTATCTGCGAAGAGCATTGTCATGAGTATGTATGAAGTTGTCTGTCTGCCCACCAATCATATGTTTTCTTGTTTTTTTTTTTTTTAAATCCACAATAAATAAAACTGTTTAGGTTAACCACTTTATAAACTAAAGCTATAAAAAGACTTATGCCGTTAACAGTTGGATGTCATGTACACATCACAACAGAAACACATAGTCCAGCAAGTAAAAATCTTTTAGGACAAAGTTATAATGAAAATGTACAGAAATTAAATAATTTCAATGACAATAGCTTTTGCTGAACACACATTGCTCAGAAGTATTGCTCTAGGTGAGTGCTTATTAGGTGTCTCTAGAGAAAGAGCGGAGACGTCAATTCAAGTTTCAATTCTTTTTTTCTTTTTTTTTTTTACGCTGGCTTGTGCTGATATGTTTTGGTTTTGTTTAAAACAAAGTTTCAAAGGGAACAAAATAGAAAGTATGGCAAGTTGAGAATTGACTAAAATAAGATAAAAGGCGGGGAGGGGGGGGGGGTTGAAAAAGACCAGGGGTGCGTCACAGGGCCAGGAGCGGTCTGCGAAGGCCCTTTGCAGGAGGCAGCGGTCGCCGCTCCCCCTTCCAGCCCCGTCAGTCCTGCTTGACGTTGCCCAGCGCTCTGAGGCGCTCCAGGAGGGGAGGGTGGGAATAGTGCCACATGGAAAACAACCAGTCAGCCACGGGGAAGCCCAGGTTGTCCTTGTTGAGCTTGATGAGGGCAGAGTAGAGCTCGGAGGCTTTGCCCATGCTGCGTGCAAAGGCATCTGCCTGGAACTCAAACCTGCGACTCAGGACTGTCAGACAGAAGGACAGAAGCTGCAAAGACAAAAACATAAATCTGATTTTTTGAGGACGACTGCAAATAATGACGTTAAATGAGTCAACAGGTCCAAAACTGACTAACAATATTTATCACTCCCACACTCACCTCATTGTACGGGGAGAAGATGAACTGGAAGATAATCATCAAGCCTATTAATGTGGGTTGGCTGTTATCGAAGCCAAAAGCTACAAACAGCTCCTTGCGTCCAATCAGAACAGCAAACAGCGAGAAGCACAAGAAGGAATTCATCTGCAGAAAGAACAGTCAGCAGATGTTAGGCACACACCAACTTACATCTGAATGTCTTTATCTTATTGTGTTACACACAGGCCAACTAGTTCAGCTACAGAGTCAGGAGAACAACTGTTAACGGAGACAATGCGTAACCTGACTGATGACGATATTCTTGACAGTGTGGCCAAGCTTCCAGTGGCCCAGCTCATGACCCAGGACTGCAAGGATCTCTGGGTTGTTGCATCCTTGTTTCTTGTTCTGTGGACGTATTTGTAAGAGAGCAACACAGTTTGATCACACAGAAAGACAAAACAATGGTTTAACATCCAGGTCACAGGGATCCTTAAGCTGGAGTAGGCAACGTTGGAGAAACTAGCTAGAAAAGGTCTCCAAGAGAGTAGTATCCAAACGAAAAACAAATCCCACCCCATTTCGTCAGGCCTCACTCCAAAGCCATTCCCCCAAAACATGTTTAATGCTGGACTGTGACAGCCACAGATGCCTTATTTGTTTTTAATTTTTATGACACAGCATTTGAGTTATTGATTGCTGTCGGGATGTAATGAGAATTTAAACAAATATAACAAAAATCTGAAATAATTTGCCTACCCTAGCCTTACAACAGCCGGTTTGAACATTAATAGGTATGTGTGCTTTTGAGAAAAGACACTTAAGCCTTCTCTGCTCACTCACAACAAGTCGCTTAGGATAGAAATATTGCTAGATGACCAAAAAGGTCCCCCAACCTCTTGGGCTACTTGTACTTTTCCTCAAAGTGAACAGATTATAAAGAGTGTCAAATCTAATGAATTATGCATTTATTTTAGGTTACAGAAGGCACTTATCCTTAAATTGTTGTGAAGTCGGGACATTATATGATTCTTGGATGAGGAAGAACAAAGAGACAATGCATGCTGATGGAACCCTGGTTTCTATCATAGCACTAGGAACGTTTCTGAATACACCCTATGTGACCTTGGGCTTGGCTTTTGAGTCACTGGCTGAATCATCGCTCTCTGGCTGCGGCTCTCCAGACTTGTTGAGAGGCGAGTAGTCTTCCAGCAGAGTGTCAAACAGCACAATGCGCTTGTTCTTGAAGAAACCGTAGAAGTATGCGTTGCTGTGGGACGAGCGCTTGGAACCTGGAAATATGGAAAAACGTTGAAGACAATCAAAGGGCGGTGTCTCAACAACAAACTTGTAGAAATGCTCAACAGATCTTAAAAACGTTTAATATTCATACTGTAATAATGACAAGATGTCACACAAGAAGCTTTGATGATTTAACAAGCATGTGGTTCCACATTTGAGCACCCTGGATTTAACAGATTTACTTTACCTTCAACTACATACACCTTAGTAAGGGGGAAGTTTATACTCTTGGCCATCGACTCAATATCTGTCTTCAGCTCTCCGTCTGGCAAAGGAGTGAACTTGTCAAACAGGGGAGCGATGTAGTCAGCATAGATTGTTACTAGTACCTGGGAACACACAAGAAGAGGAGACGCATCATACTGAATTGTTAGTACCAAACAACTAGGCTAACTACAGAGTTTTACTTCCGAGTTACTTTGTTTCCATATTACATACAGACAGATTTCTACAAGTTCATTTGTTTAACAGCTGGCAGGGAGAATGCAGCACTAACCAGAGAAACAGCCAGGGTAAAGAGCCAGGCATAGATGAAAAAATAGTCTCCACCAATCTTGATGATGTACAGCAGGAGCGAGGTGACGGGCAGCAGGATACACTGGGTCACAACAAACTTCTTTACAGCATCCTTAAGGAAGAAGCCCATCGTCTGACAGGAAGACAAGACACCGATATAAAAAAAGACAATGGCGCATAACAGAAAAAGAGAGGGCGCTGTCAGGATGTGTGCGCGTGTGTGTATGCATGACCAACAGTGACCTGGGTCTTAAACTGATCTTTTAAATATAAAATAGGCAAACTCGACTTCTGATGTGGCTAAAAAAGGTTTTTATTGAAATTTAGTGACAAGCAGTCACAGTGAAAAAATATTTAATGTTTGTATAAATATCTGCTATAAGTCCTGCAGCATTATTTAATCTTTGCTGTCCATCTGCATGTTTCCAATGCAGCTAAACACACTACTTGCATTGCAGTTTTGGATCCCATAAGACGGTTAGTGTGTGACACATCACTTGGGGGTGATAGCGCATAGATAAGATGCTTGCCTTTGGTGTGGGAGACCTGGGTTCAATTCCCACTGTGAGACATCCACCATTATGTCCCTGAGAAAGACACTTAATCCCTAGATGCATAGCAATTTTAAGTCGCTTTGGATAAGAGCGTCAGCTAAATTAATAGATGTTAATTCACACTGGTTGCAATTCATTTTAACAGTCAGGGGATCCAGCTGATAAAAACTGCTGTTCTTCCTGAGGAAGGAAACTACAAACATTTAACTGCTGAAGTTCAGGCCTCCAGAGGTCTATTCGGTGAGTGTACCTGCTGATTGAAGCCGTGCTTCTCCTCAATGACAAATGTGTTGTACAGACTCCAGGGAAGTCCAGTTAAGGCACTGAACAGCGTGGCGAGCATCAGAAACACGAGTGACTGGGTGATCTCGTACTCTGAACTTAACCCAAAGCGAGTTGTCACAGACCCAGCGACACCCCACAGGAGCGGGATACCACCCAGGAGCAGGATCAACTAAAAGGAATTGGGCATAACACAAAACATTTTACATATCAACTTAAATTTGTGGCATAAACACACAATGAAAATTACTACTATTACTATAGTGGAATATTCATGGTAACATAAACAATCTTAAAGTAATACTCTATGCCCACTTGAAGTGACGCAAGTTAAGAACCAGCCTTTTGATACTCACAGCCCACTGTTCACTGATTGTGAATGGGTTTTTTTGTCATGCAATCTATGACTTTTAAATTACTGGCTTTCTTACCGTCCCTTCAGTCTCAGAGTAGAGTCCAGACCAAAAGCTGAAGTTGCTTTTATCCAGCTGATAAAGACGTGACTTCTCAAACGTTTCAGAATCCATGATCTTCCCTAGTTCCTGTGGCACATGTGTCGTCGATCTGTATATGCTCCTCTGTGGAGGGGAAAGATCAGCACAAATATCATGTATACCTGCTTGATCGATAGTATCAGATTTTGTTCATAATCAGATTTATACTCTCACTTTTTCCAAGATCTAGCTCTTAATTCTAACTTTGAAAAACATGCACATCACATACAATCACATGTTTTGAGTTACCTACTTTCTTTGATAGGTTCATTTTTTTTAGGGTTTTTTTTTAACCTCTAAAAATCTAAAAGTTTGGGAATACACCCAATTTAACAAAATTTGCCAAAAATAACCACAAAAAAATCAAACCCCTGCCCCCCTGTCCTTGCAATCTAATTAAACTACATATCGCACTTATTAACACTTTTGCTGGAGGCTGCATTATGTTCTGACACAATATCCTGTTTCTGTGGGAAATATACTAAACCACTCCAAAGAAGCCATTTAATCGTGACTTTACAGAACTTGCTAAGAAGAAACTTCAATTACACGATTCAGAAAATGCAGGGCCTTGTATGTTATTATTATAACATTTATTGTATTAGGAACATACATCTGTCCACTGCATCTCAATACTGATTTAAACTAATTCAAACTTTGCGTCTGATACTGACAAATGATTAACTTACCTGTCTGTAAGAAAGGTATGCCTCCCACAGATACACTGTCCACGAAAATCCCAAAACAGCATAAAATATCAGTTTTTCCACCGGGAGATCAAATACAGATTCAACCATCTTTGCTCAGTTGTTTTGGTGTAACGTTATGTTGTTTGAGCAGCGATGAGTAGCTCGCAGACTAACGGTTAAACGTTTCCTAGCCTGACTGGTAGTTTCAGGCTAGCAGCTAACTTAGCTTCAGCTCTGAACACACACAGACAACGCTTTCAAGCTGACTTGAGGGAAACCTGTTCCGCTTTAGATCGACAGACACCGACTAAAAATATTAACTCGGAAATGTCTGCATCCAGTTTGCATTTCTGAGTCAAGGCTTTTACAGTTAATATCATTCCATTCATGCGAGATGCGAGTCTGACGATGACGTGTGGCAACAAATTCTACCCCTACGGAAACCACTGCTATAACTTGGTTCCGCAGCCTTTTCATTTTACACATGAAAAGGAACTCACTGAAGGAACTCACTGAAATCAAACACAGTTTTAGGTCTTAATAGTAACATACTCCAATGCGCAGATATCCCAACTAATGTTTGTCTTAACCTAAACGTTTGAATGTTGTATCCATCGCTAAATCGTCCGCAAATTAAACGGAAGTCTGGTCAAATAAATTAACCAAGAGTGGTGTTTAGTTCCTAAAATCGCATTCAGGTTCGAACGGCAGACTGCTTTTAACAGAAAGCAGTCAGACAAACTGTTAGTCAAACATGGGACCTGTGCAAAAAGTTATGTCTTAATGTAAAGTTTTATATATATATATATATATATATATATATATATATATATATATATATGAAACTAGGTCTCCATGTCTATCAATTTCCATTTTATCACTGCAATTGATGAAATCAATAATATAACTACAGATGGCCAGATTAAGATGTTTGATGGCTCCCAGGTCAAAAATTAGCTGCTAGGACCTTACTAATCCCCTATTCTTCATACTCTGGGTGCAGTGGGTTGAGTGCCTGTATGCTGCAATATTGCATGGCTCCAGGTTTTGTGGTACTTAAATTCAACACTTAAATAATGTGCACTACCTAGTCATAATAGCAGATAAAATAATCAAGGTATTAAAACAGTGATTTACCTGAAGGCCTTTTATCATGTCAGTTGATATTGTTCTTGTAGTTCTGCATATTCCGCCCACAAAATTATAATTCATCAAATTTCCACCAAGTGCCACAAAGTATATGTGGTCTAGGCCTCCAGGCAGTTGCCCACTTTGCCCGGTTGGTAATCCAACTTTGCCTAGCAAATTAACAAAACCCCTACAGTGAAAAGCTTATTTTTTGGATACAAGACAATACATTTAACTGTAAAAGTCATCTGTACATCTGTGATAGTAAACTAATAACAGTAATGATCATCACTTGAAAAAATTAGAAAACCCAAGAATCTTTATTTTACACACAGCCAATTTCTTATAATAGTACCTCATTGTGTACCATTAAGCTTTAATGCCATATTTCAGGCAGCAGAATTACATCATGAGTTAGGTGGATTTTCAATTTAGCGAACAGCTCTTTTGCTGCCACTTCACTGTGATTTGTACAGAACTTTTGGAAAGAAAGGGGCTTTTTATTCATTTCCACATTTATTTTTATTAGAAAGTGTTACATACATGTCTGCCAACTTCTGTCCACTGCACCCCAACACTGATTTAATATAAATTGAGGTGAAAAATAACCAAACATATTCCCCAAGCACTTGATAGTAAGGAAATGTTTCCCAGTCACATTTTCACACAACTGAAAGGCCTTGCAATACGCTACTGACCATTTCTAACAATTTGAAAATCTGTACAGTTATCTTAGAGAACTACAGTATATACACTTGTGATCATGAGTTAGCATGTGTTATCTGAATGCTTTAATAACAGACGTCTAAAAAAAAAAAAAAAAAAAACCCACTTGGATTTCATGTGCACTGCTTAAGCTTGACTTAACGCTAATTTCTTTAGTTTTTAGTTAGACTTAAAAAAACAAAGCTCAAACAAAAAAAAACAACACTAGCATTTTGAGAGAAATAAAAATACTGGTACGCAGCTTGTGAAAATACAAAGTAATTTGCCATAGCTATGTTAAAAAGGTCCTCAGTTAAACTAACTTCCAAGAAGCAGTTTGCTGTTGTTGGTGTCTGATGGAAAGAGGTCAGGCAGGGTGGCGGTACACACAGGTCTCCCCAGGACCACCACAGGTCTGAGGTACTGAAGCTGCTTAATAGCCAGGTCCCCACACCCCGCCAGGGCTTTGTCCAAGATGGATTTCAAGTTTTGGACTGATGTGAAGTCTCCAGTTATAGCGTGAGGCTTCAGCAGTGGGGAATGAGTGCGTCTGCTGCGCGTGTGAGAGATTCCCAGCTGGTTGTTCTCTTTCACAGAACAACTGCGTCTGAAAGCGTCTCGCCGTTTCGCCGGCGCCGCGCTTTTGTCTTTCGGGGTCGTCTCTTGTATGAACCTCAGGAATGAGGACTCAAAGCCAATAGGCTTATATGCAGCGATGTCAAAAGGGCGTGGAGAAGGGCTACGAGGCTGAGTGTCTATCAAGTTTGAAGGCTGTTCAGACAGTTCGTTTTTCCGTTTTAATGGCTGGCGAACAGGAGGAGTGGGCAACGTGGCTGGCCCGTTCAACAGTTTACCGCCATCCTTTGAGCTCGACGTGTCTTGGAAGCCCTCCTCAGTAGTAAAGCGCAGTGAGCACGGAGGAGAGAGGTCAACAGTGACAGTGCGAAGAAGAGGTTTGATTTTATCCAAGCTTAATCTCTCCTCGGGTTTCTGACTGTTCTGTGTTGCTGCAGCAGAGTCTTCAGCGTGCCCACCGGTGCTCGGTTCACCGTACAGCACCTCATCTGCACCGACAAGGACGCCATTTCTCTCAACAGGTGGTGGCTCCTCCTCTTCTTCCTCAGAGAATCCCAGTGGATCATGATTATCCTCATCCTGTGTCTCTGCCTTGACAGAGTGTAAGCTCATGGGGGCAGGCTGCCCCCCTGTGTTTTCTGGCTCTGCCTGATACTCCATCTTGCGAACTCCGTTAGGGGCACACGCTCCTGCAACTGTTGGCCTGGCTGACTTCCTCTGAATCAGTTCCTCTAGCTGCTCTGCATTGAAAACAAGCTTATCGTCATTCTTTACAAGATCGTCTCGACGCATACGGTGAACCTTCAGGTAGTGACGGTGCAAGCTCCCCATGTACGTCACGACAGAATCACAGTCCTGAACCATGCATGGATAGGCCACACGCAAACAGCGGTCTTGGCACATCTGTAGTGCTTCTTCATGAGATCTGAAGACAAAACGATCGTAAGAATTTCTTCTCCCTTTTTTTTCACCTGAAACTTTCTTCTCCACAACACCCTCCTGTTCACCCATCTCCTCCGAAGGGGCAGCCACTTCAGGCTCAGGACCCGAGGTCTCAGCCTGCGTGGTGGTAGAAACCGGTTCCTCTTTCTGAGGAGTCTGTGGTGTGACAATAAGCTTCTTTTGGCATCCAGTAACTGACTTTTTGTGAGTGCTCTGTAGACGTACCACCAGTGAATCGTAGTACTCAAAGTGACTATAAAGCGTATGTTTTTTGAGTGCATCATCATGGCTAAACACTCTTGTACAGCCTTCGTACTTGCACCTTATTAGCTCTGGTGGCTGCGAGTGATAATCACGAGTGTGACGCACTAGGCTGCTTTTAAGGTGATAGGAAGCACTACAATTAGCAAAGTGACATTTGTACTGGGGCTGAGGTTCATCAGAGTTTGGAAGAGGCCTTTTCTTGGCAGGCTCTTTTCTGACTTCTGGACTGTGATGCGCATCAAAATCTTTCTCCAACAGGAGCTGAGAGCGATTGTAATGATGTACCAACTGCAGGTGGCGCACAAGGCCTCCCTGCGTGGAAAAAGCGGCATCACAGTTTTTTGCTACACAATGGAAGGGTTTACTGAATTTATCCAGTATATAGCAGAGATTACTTTTTGCTACCAAACGTCTCGTAGTTCTGACCTGTTGCGTGGTCCTATCCTCACTTTCTCCCTTCTGCTCACTGTCTTCCTCTCTACTCTCTGCTTCATCTTCTCCTTCCTCTTCAGATGGAGACTGATTGTCTAAATTTTGTCCATTTTCACTCATCACTGTTGAGTTTTTTTTCTCGTGTTGTCGTTGCAACTTGGGCATCTGTTTCTTCCTCATTGCTAGACCGTGGTTTGTCAAATGCTGGGATTTGTGCTTTGAAAGGTCTTTTTTGCCCTCATACCGTACAGATGCACAGCTAATTTTGTCCACCAAAGAATCACTCAAGTTATGTATATGAACATAGTGGGCCTTTAACACATGTTTTTGTCTGTGACTCTTGGAACAAAGATGGCACACATATGGCTTAAAAGACGTTGTTTTCAAAGAAGTCAGCCTTTTGGCCTGTTCAACAGTACGGCCATGTTTGGTGTTGTAGTGTCGCATTAAGCTGTAACTCTGAGCAGTCCTGAAGCCGCAACCTTTCATCTCACAGGTATATGGCTTAGCAGTGGCTAAAGATTCACCGCCTTCTTCGTCAGCCTCTGATGCTTGTTCAGTTTTGACTTGTACCGTTTCATCAGGCAGATGTGGAGGTCTCTTCTGAAGCAATACAACAGGAGGCTTTGCCATGATTGCCTGATGAAGAGATATTTGTGATGCATTAGACTCTGGGCTGGACTGTGGGGGCTCATCTGGCACACTGTGAGGTGAAGAAGAATTCAGGTCCAGTTTACTGAGCCCAATAAGAATTTCTTTCAGGGCATCATTTTTTCTTTGAAGGCTTGAAGAGTTTGTTTCATTGTTTTTGGAATGTGTGGACGTTTTTCTTTCTCTGCCAGCCTCCATGTGTTGAAGTGGAGTCGAGAGCTCATTTTTCCCCCTTTCGTCACTGTTTGGCTCAGCTTCAGTCTTTATCCCTTTGGACTTGGAGCCCTGATCTTTGTCATGTTTGTGTTCTTTGTTCTCCAGTTTAAGGTGCTCTGGGTGGGCACACTTCAGATGTCTCTGGACATCTCTGGCTCTGGAGAAAGTCATGCCACACTTCTCGAAACCACAGGTGAACTTACTTCCATCAAAGCACACAGCCACCAGGGTCATTGTTGCTTTGGGTTCCTTGCTGTCAGATGCTTGCGAAGAGGCGGCACACATTTCTGAGGAAGAGTTCAGGACATCTCCATTTACTATCTTTTCTGCATCATCAACTGATTTATTAATGTGGGGTGTTGCTTCAGTCACAGTCTTAAAAAGTTTCCGCTTTGCCTTCCTCTGGGCCTCAAAGTCGTCTTCAGAGAAGGTGATGTTGTGTGTGGATAGATGCTTTATGAATTCCTTTTTGGACAAATAGTATTTTCTACATTCAGCGCTGGAGCATGTAAATGCTGCGTCTCTGAAATGC